TAGCTAATACTTCTTCACCCCCAAAACCCCAAAACCCCATGATGCCTTAATATTGTATAAGAGATGCTTAGTAAGATTTTGATTTGATAGATATTGTTTATAAAAAATAGCGATGTAATTTTAAACTTAATTGTGCTATCATTAGATATTGGGCCCTTGAGTTTGCTTCCTCCACATATCATTGATATTATTAGATTTATTTCCTGCAGCTCCAGGAGCTCCTGGTGCTGGCTTTTTTTGATTGTCATCATCAGATTCTAAAATAAATTTAACATGCAAGATATGAAATTACCACTATCATCACTATCTGAATCTGAGTCGCTTTCTTGATTAAAATTTTCTCTTCTTCCATAAGAGAAATTTTGGTTTACAGGGGCTGGTTATTACTAAACTCCCATTGCCCTGTATCCTGGCTGTCCTGGTAATTATTAGATCATAGGTTGACCCATGACTTAATGAGGCATCTAGTTCATAACTTGAGCTTAAGCCATTTAATGTGGCTACTATTAAATTGGCATTTATTAAGGCTATCCATGCATGTATTGTTGCATTGGCATTTGCTATTGAGTCATCATAGGTTGACCTGGTACTCCCATCATTTGATTTTGATATTGTTGAGGTTGCTATATTTGCTATTATTGAGGTGGCATCCCTGCAATTTGGGATTGTTATTGCATCCTACTATTAACCTAAGCTTTCTGAAGTTATCTTCTCTGGGCATCAGCTTCTTTCCTCTTTTACTTCTTTTGATTTATTTTGATGCAACTTTTAACGTAGGCATCAAGTTCTCTACACTTTCTGACAGGTAATTGATCAAGTTCAAACTCAAACACTTCATTATTGTTTTAACTAATACTGTCCTTGATAATGTCGATTATTCCTCTCTATTGCTCAGGGGTTAAATGGCCTATCAAATCTTTTAATGCTACCTTCTCCTAAGGAGTCATTGGTTTATCACTGTGATTCTAAGCAAGAGCAACCTAGATTGTGCTAGCTATTTATGACTAAGTTCTTGCATTCTTGGGTTGTTAACTCTTTTCTTTAATCTTATTAATTTCTTATTGCATTTGATTTATCTTTTTATTCAAATTTTGCTGATTCTTTGGTTGAGGGAAAGCTTAAGGTTCTGGCTAGAAGCCTTATTATAATCTATCTGCTGATGGAAGTTGTTTATTATCTAAATCTTGGAAAATTTAATCGAAGTATTGCTCAATTTGCTTTATCTTTGCTTGCTTATTAGGATCATCAATATGAATTTTATAGCCAATTTAGAACATCTTTCTAAAATCAATTCCAAGAGCAAATGTCGTTTAATATTTGCCATCAATGAAGTTATACTCAATTTTATGAAGGTTTATGTAATCTTATTATAGCTCTTGAAATCTAGGATGTGCATGATCTAGTGGCTATAGGAATAGTGAAATACTTGGGTGATTTTTTAATCCTTGTATAAGAGTAGAAATCTTAGCCTTAACACTCTTAGGGCTTAAATTTTAGGGTTTCTTTTGTCCTGGCTTTTGATTTAAACCACTAACTTCATTGTAATCCATACTCGCACTTAATTCACCAGTACCTGCTGCCATGCTATTGTAGTTTACATGCTTTCTCTCTCTTCCAGATATTCTCTGTCCAGATTTGTTTTGATTGTCTGCTAAGTCATCTCCCATTTCTGAACCACCCCTTGAACTACCTTCTTATAAACTAGTTTGTTTCTTTCCGATTGGGTATCCGCTGCCTACCTATAAGAATAATTAAGTAAGGCTTGTTTTTCTTATTTAAAAAAGGCATATTTACCTTTTTCTTTTTCTAAGCATTTTTCTTCACTTAAGCTTGAGCTTGATTTTATCTTTGAATGACTGCTTTCCAAACGTTCTCCTCAAGTTCAATCCTATACCCGCGCGGGAGATTTTTATTGAGAATGGCTGCCTGATAAGTATTTGCTGTGACCAAGCCCACCTTGCTTCGGCTTCCATCATCCCCAATATTGAGGGAACTATCTTAGTTGGAATGATACTTAATTTCTTCTGATTTAACTTAATTGTGCATTCCATAGCCCATTGGAGTTTAATTAACCTTAATTTCTTCGTGATGAGGATGATGTTAATTGATCTGATTCCCATAATCTCCATTTATTGGTTATTATATTCCCATTTAATTGCCTATGATATGAGTTTCGTTGTGAATCAATCCTGTGCCATCAGTTGTAGGTCTATCTGCAGCAGATTCATGCTCATAGGTGAGCTTTTGGTGAGTATTCAGCTAAGAAGTATGGTCGCTGAAGAGTTAATTCTAAGACATCTAACTAAATTTGTGTCTTTTAATAACTTCGTAATTTAATATTATAATTGTAACAAAAATTATTGATTAAATAGGGCAAAGAAAGAAGGCAGATTTTACAAAAATTACATAACTAAATTCATTTCTTGCCTAGAGCTTTTGCTACTTCCTCCTTCTATGTTATGAACAATTTTCTCAAGAATCCCTTAAGCTCCTCCACTGAGATGTCGTCACTACCGTCCTCATCAAGCTCTGAAAACACCTCCTAGATAGTTTTATCGTCAGGATTGTTCTTCATGCCCATCTCTTGACAGATATTGTTAATGAAATTTCTGATCTCTGCTCTTTCAAGTGAACCGCTACCATCAACATCAATGGTCTTGAAAACTTCTGAGCATACGTGGTTGAAAGTTTCTTCATCCTCCAAGATAACTTTCAGAGCCTCGTATGTCTGCTCAATCTCTTCTAAATTCTACGCCATCCCTGTATAATTTAAATTATATGATAGAAATAAGATTTTAGCTAAACAATTTCAATTTGTTGTGGAATTTTATAGCAGGGGTTTTGGGGTTTTGGGGTTTTGGGGTTTTGGGG